CTAAGACTATACTTCTCGTACTTGTTGGCAGTGAGAGGAGGCAAAAGGAATTTTCCAGCCTTTTCATAAGGGAGCATGGTAGACCCAACAGATACATCAGTCCCCTAAGACACAGAGCTAAATGGAAAGATAAGTCTGGATCATTAGAGGCAGGACTGCAGAAATTTAGAGCTAGGTACCTGAAGGTGCTTTTGAACACACGGCATATAACATCAATATATAACAGTTACCGTTCTTATAACTAAAGGTATAGCCTCCACTTCACACATGATAAAGAAATGGCCCACTGTCTCAAGTAGAAATTGATAATTTCTTAGACCCTTTGATATAAGTCATAAAAGAAGGCAATGCTCTATGTCAGTGGAGCCATTGGTTACCATAACTACCATCAAATACACAGCAAACATCAATGCAAAAGCCTGCTTAATGAAATTCTTTACCTGGCTTTTTGCCTTTCAGGATATGCAACCCTTGATGGAGACATTATTCTCTTCGTACTGTAATGCAGCACTAAAACATCTGCTTCCCACATGATTAATTTAACAAGTAAGTCAACACACAGTGAGGCATACTCAGAAACAGGACACGGGGGAATGAAATAGCCAAAGTGTAGAGGCTCTCTAGTATATCAGGTTATTGTCTACAGACTTAAAGGGGAATCAGAACAAGACAGCCACAGAAACAAGACAGTACTCATCAGTAACAGATTACTGACTAGATATACTCTTATTATAACCACATGGCATATTGCTTTCTTTAAGCTTATTTTACAAACCATCAAGTTTCATTGTAATGCAAGATCATCTACCAACCAAAAAATACTCCAGTCTGAATTTTCCCCTGTCCAACTGCATGTTGTTTTTTTTTCCTCCAACAGATGAACTCGCCTGCTGAACTATAAGCATATGCCTACCATAAATGCTTTAAAACTGAAGATTTTGCGTTCTTCAAAACATTATTAATTATCTCTGATGGAGCTGCAAAATTTAATTTGCCCATGGCTAGATACCATATGGGAGACAACTACAAACTATTTTCACCTACTGACATATCACTGGATCTTAAAATCTATTAAACCTTGCTGCAGCTAGACCTTTTAATATTTTGACAAGCAGCTACATTTACAAACTTGGATATTTTCTAAAGTCTAAATTGCATTCTAGTAGATCAGACCAACTGCAATTAACTTAATAATCAAAAACACTGAAATCTGCATGGGAATCAAAAGGTTCAAAAGTGTGACAATCTGATTTTTCTAAACCAAATGAGAATTAACACAAAGTACCTGAAGTAAATCAGCATCCACCTATTACGCTATATGCCAGCCTCCTTATATAAAGACCTCAGAAATAAAAAATTAACACTCAGTTATCTCTAAAAAGTAAATTATAGATTCAATTAGTAATAAAAGATTAACACATACATTCTTATACCCCAGACCAAACCACCTCTACATTTACATTAGCCACCCTAAAGAAAATGAAAAGATATTCCAGATGGTAAGCTGGAGAGATCTGCTTTACAGCAGATCAGTTAACTAAGACTTCATCAGAAGTATTTTTTGAGATGCATCAAATAAAAAAAAAAACTCTGAACATGGAGACAAGACAACAAGAATCAACAGAAACAAACTACTGTTACTATAATATTCATATACAGTATCTACACAAAATTTTATCTGAGCAGGCAGATGGTAGATAAAGTTTGTAAGTAGGCTCCACATTTGATTCCCTTGCTATTAATAGAAGCCCAGGCTGTGGTGGCCAAGGTTATATCAGGCTAGACACACTCCGGTTTCCTGAATCTACCATGAAGGCCTCCTAAATTTAACATGTAAAGCATCACCTTTGTAACTGTGCAATTGATTTGTATACACAAAGTTAAACCAGTTTATCTAAACATGCTGCACTGAAGGAAATCAAGTCAATAGGCAAAACTGTGTGTGTGTTTGCACGCATTAATGCTTTTACATTGGTTTAAGCTTAACTTACTTTGTCTTGCACAGCAAACAAAGTTTCTAGTTCACTTAATTGCACTGGCTTAACATCAATTCTTTAGATAAGCAGGAACGACCTTAAACCAAGTGCAGGCATCCCACATACTGCCATGTATTGTCCTCCTCTATGTCCACAAGGACTGGAAAATCTACTGCTCAACTCAAGAGTGTTCTTTCTGAACAGATGGTATGGAATTCTTTACCTAGAATGATCAAACCTCCTGAAGGGACCTACCTTACACCCAAGACAATTTACTCGCGAATTCTACTATTAGAATTAATAAGTAAGGTAAATATAACAGAAATGAGGAGCATATTCTTACTCCCTCAGGGTTTGCATCTGTTTACACTGCAAATTTTAACAGCATTTTTTATTTCTTCTTTATTAAACCAGACTTCTTCAAGAAGAAAACTGTTTAAAATAGGAAAAGACAATTGTGAAAGCTGTAAACTCTGGGATGAGAGCAGTATCAGAAGTCATTTTAATATTTACCTAAAGTGGTTCAATTTGTCTGCGCTCTATTAAAATCCTACCACTAAGAGGAGCCCTAAACCTATCCCACACTGAGCACTGGAAGAAGTGGCATTAATTTTTTTTCCTTACTTCTCAAGATCAAAGGGAACTGTTACTTCAGTGATACTGAGGAAAGCAGAATCACCAGAAGTTGAACAAGAACTGATAAAGAATCAGTTCAGGAGTAGCCCCTTGAAACCACTGAAGATCAATGAAAACAAAAGGAGGAAAAAAATTCTTCCATTGGAGGGAGTCGACCAATAAGAAAAGATTCCACCAAAAACGAAGAATGAAGAAATGATGAAGGCAGCTAGTAAGAGAAACAAAGAGGAAAAAGCTGTAGTAGGAACACAGAATGAAGCCACCTCAAGGCCTAGAGCAGAAGAATGGTGACTACAGACACAGAGAATCAGAGCCAAGACAGCAACCTTCAAGCAACAGAAAAAAGCAGAATTAGTAAAATCTCTACGTAGAAATGCAAAAAGAGAAGGAATCTTAAGATGAAGAGTGAGCGATGCAGAATTATAGACTGTAATGATAAAAACATGAAAAGAACCAAGGAAAATGTTTTAATACATCGATATGTTCCTAGCATTTTCTGCTAGGTATGCCACAACTCAGGATTTATTAGGAAGACGTGAGACGGCTCTTATGAGAGCATGCGATCTCACCCAGGCTAAGACTATCAAGACAGAGACTATTCTAGAAAGCTAGTCAGAAGAGAAGCCTCACTCAAGCAGTCCAAACCGTCTTCCGGTGAAGCCTTTAACTCTCCAGTAAATGAACAGGAACACAGAGAGCTCCAAAAAGACACCCATTTCTGAAATTTGAAGTTTACTGGCTAGGTATTACCTCCACCCAATAACTGGTTGACTGATCCCTCTTCCTTTTACTGTTGGGTATAAAGGCAACAAAGGAAGGTATAATGAGGTACCACGTTCCTCTTCTGACCAGATACTTAAGTCTTGCCTCCAGTAGGTCTGCACGCTGACAGAATACGAAGGACATTTGATTTCCACAAAACCCTGCCCGGTTGTACCCATACAAGAGTCACCGAATTCCTCAATTTAAAGCTGAGAACAGCAAAAACAGAAGGCAAGATGAACTGCAGACTGGGAAAACACACAAAAAATGGCTCCCTCTTACTCAATCTGTTCACTTGGGCATATTTGCTCACACGAAGTCCAAAAGTACTTGGACGCACTTCATGGTTAGCTGCGCTAGGCCAAGGCAGCTAGCTGGAAGCTGTCAGGTACTGCCTCCCCTTGCCTTCCGCCTTATCACCTTCCCTGAAGGCAGGCGCTCGGTGCAAGGACAACGAGATTTGCATAAGCGTCCTAAAAAAGGCACACGCACATCAACAAAGAAGGATGCCACCTCGCCGGACCCCTGCCGGGGCTGGCGGCCGGGAAGGCGGGGCCGACGCCCCCCTCAGCCCGGACCGGGCGCCGCTTCCACAGAGCCTCGTCCGGCCCGCCGCCAGGGAGGGCGGGCGGCGACCCACACGGAAGCAGGTGCCCCACGCACCCCCCGCTCCCCCGGCGCGCAGGGAGGCCGCGGGCAGCCGCCGAGCTCCGGACACACCTCTGCCCCGCACCGAGGAGGCCGCTCGGCCCG